TTTTCCGTCTCACCCTGCGCCTGGAGCCCCCCCCGAGCACCCCGGGGCGGGGGGAGGGGGGGGGGGAGCGAAGAATCCTCCCAATTTTCTGGGGGCGCGGGGGTTTACTAGGGCTCAGCATCCCACGGGGAGATCCCGCCGGCCCTTGAAGTCAAACCCAGCGCTAACAAAGAGCTGTTTATTAAAGCCAGCTCCGTGCCAGGCATCTCTTTGCTTTTGCCTCCCTCCCTCTCGGCGTGGGGCACCCCAGAGCTGCAGGCACAGACCGGCTCACCCCCACCAGCAGCCCGTGACCCCCCAAAACTGCACAAAGGGGAGCAGAGGACGACGCACGGCTCGAAGGGCTGGCTTTTATTTCTTCTTGGGAAACCCTGCGTAGCTATTTGGAATAACTTCACCCCTTGCACAGCGTGGGCGGGAGAGAAGTCCCTCTGCCCAGGTGGGCTGGAGCTCAGCAGCTCTGCTCCTTTCCTGCAGCCCCTTTGTCCCCAGTCTCGTGCCACCCAGGCCAGACCTTGTGTGCTCTCCTCCCTGCGCTCTGTAAACCTTGGAGCTCTAAAATTGGCTTGGCTTTGCTCAGCCCTTGCTCTTTTCCTTCGGTTTTAAGTCAATTCCACAGGAAACCTATAATAACGATGCCCGGCTCCTGCATGAGTCAGTCCCATGGTGGCGACTGGTTTGCAGGCTGGAGTCCCACCAGAGCTCCTGGCCCCGGCAGAACTCACAAGACAGCTGTTTTCCTCTTCTTTTGTAATGTGGAAGTGGGACAGGGCTCTAGCTCCAGCAGGATGAAACACGAGTTATGGCATCTCTCCCAGGGCTAACAAAGTGATTACAGCCCTGCTCGTCGCACTGTGTTACCCGCTGAGATGCAGGAGAGCACGGCCGAGCTGGGGGCTTCTTGCATAGGCTTAAAAAAACCTCCTGCATCTGGGTAAATGGGAGAAAAAAAAATAAAATAAGATATCCCAGGGGACCTTTGATGCTGCAAAGCCCATGCAGGAGCATGTCTCTGTGGCTGGGGGCAGGCTGTGTGCAGCAGGTTGGGTCCTGGGTGGCTGGGGCTAGAGAGATGTCCCCATCCCCACAGAGCTGCCTCAGCAGGCAGCAGCTCCTGGCCGCCATCCGGCAGATGCAGCAGCTGCTGAAGGGGCAGGAGACGCGCTTCACCGAGGGCCTGCGCGTGATGAAGAGCCGGCTGAGCACCCTGCACGCCTCCCTGGCCAAAGCTGCCCCCGAGCCACCCGCCGGTGAGTCCTCCCTGCCTCCCAGCGTTTGCTTTTGTGGCCTCAGAGGATGCCGGGGGGGGACAGGTGAAGATGCTCAGGGCTGTCAGAGGTGGACATCTGGGCATCTCCACAGATGGAGATACCTGTTCCTGTGTTGGGAATTTGTGCTTGTGAATTCGAGCACTTCTCCAGCCTGGTGAGACGTGGTGAAGCTCAAAAGCCCATAGCTGCAAGGCAGAGAGCTCCTGGCAAACCACTGGAGGCGAGTGTGCTCACTGGAAAACTGTGTTTCCAGCAAAAGACCCACATTCCTGTGCTGGGAGCATGAGAAGTATGGCAAGAATGCCACCACCCCCCTTGCCAGTGATGCTCAGCATCCCTGCTGGACTCTCACTGTGGGGCTGGGTGTTACTGGTCGACCTCAGCGGGCCAATAGTTGAGGAAAATAACAGTTAAAGAGGAGGTGTTTGAGGAACTGGGTGAACCGTGGCCCAGGTAGAGCTGGGGATAGGAAAGATGAGGAGGTGGTCCCCCCAAAAGCACCTACCTGAACACTGACCCCCCTTCCCCAACGGTGCTCTTGCAGTCTCCTGCCCTGCGCTGCAAGCCCCCGCAGACGGGAAGAAGTTTGGCACCAAGTATTTGGTGGAGCACGAGGTTCACTTCACCTGCGACCCGGGTTTCCAGCTCCTGGGCTCCAGCACACGGATGTGCCAGGCCAACGGCAGCTGGACCGGGCAGGAGCCCCGCTGTGCAGGTACTGCTATGGGCTGCCAGGGCTGGGAAACTGCTTGGTGCCCGTGTCTGCCCCTGGGTCTCATTTGCTATAGCAAGATGTAATTTGGGTTTGTTTAAACATGGGGGATTACTGGGGTTCACCAAACAAGGAAGGTGTCACAGCTGTCCCCGAGTCCCAGCCAGCCAACATCCTATGGATGCTACGGATCCCACAGTATCCAAAAGCTGGTACTTTGGGGTTTCTCATCCTCAAGGAAAGCTGGAAATGACAACTGGAGCCTACCTGGAGTTCAGCAGCACGGATGAGGGGAGAAGGCACCGGTGCTGCGATGGCTCCCTGAGTCACAGCCAACCTTCACGCTGGGGTACCACCGCGGCATCGGGAGCAGCCGGTGTCTGAGTTCAGCAGAATAAATGGTTATTTACAGTTCACATTTACAGTTCACATAGTGGTTTGGGTTAGAAGGGACCTTTAAAGATCATCTAGTCCAACCCCCAGAGTTACAAGGAGTCTCCACCATCCACATGCTCCACACCCCTGGACTTTGACAGAAATTGTGACAATAGGTATTTAAAATCCCAATTTATTCAGCCTTCATTGTCCATTACCTATGGGTACTAGGACAGGAAGAAGGAGTCTCTGGCTGGAACCACCTCATACTCTTCATTTACTGCCCCCATTTCTATGACAGAATGGTTACGATAGAATCATAGAACCCATTAGGTTGGAAGAGACCCTTGGGATCATCGAGTCCAACCATCTACCCCACTCTACAAAGTTCTCCCCTATACCATATCCCCCAACACCACATCTAAACGACTCTTAAATACATTCAGGGATGGAGACTCACCCCCCTCCCTGGGCAGCCTCTTCCAGCCTCTGACCTCTCTTTCTGTGAAAAACTCTTTCCTGCCGTGGGGTACCCAAGCATCCCGGTGTGCGTGGCGCTCCTGTGGCTTACTTCCCAAAATAAAATAAAATGAGATGTGGCTGCCTTTTTTTTTATTATTTATTTTTCCAGAGATCAGCGAGTGCTCGAGCAGCCCCTGCCAGAACGGCGGGACGTGCCTGGAGGGGCTGAACCAGTACAAGTGCCTCTGCCCCCAGCAGTGGACCGGAGCTGCCTGCCAGTACCAGGCACAGACGGGTGGGTGACCCCCTGCCAGGGTGGGCGACCAGGAGTATTTCGGGCTCCCCAGGCATATTTCAGCACCCCATCCCGTGGTGCCAACCCCCACCCCGTGGTGTGCCTGTGTGTTCCCCAGCTCCCCCGGCCTGGAGCGTGACGGATGACCCGGCGTTCAGCCGCCAGCCCCGCTGTGCCCAGATCGACCAGACCCAGCACTGCAGCTGCGAGCCCGGCTTCCACATGAGCGGCACGGCCGCCAACGGCCTCTGCCAGGGTGAGACACGCTGCGGGGAAGGGGGGGGACCCACACGTCGGGGGTGGGCTGGGGCATCTCGGCCACTCTCCTGCCTGCTCCCCTCGTCTCCCCGCAGACCTCAACGAGTGCGAGGTGTACAAGCGGGAGGGGGGTCCCCGGCTCTGCACCCACGCCTGCATCAACCTCCCCGGCTCCTACCGCTGCGCCTGCCCCAGCGGGTACCTCCTCCTGGGTGACGGCAAGAGCTGCGAAGGTGAGGCAGGGGGCTGAAAACCCAGGGGTTTACCCCTTATCCCCAACTCCCACTATTGCTTTTTTTTTATTTATTTATTTTTTCCCCCTTTTTCTCCTCCTTTGCAAGCATTTCATAGAATCATAGAATTGTCCAGGCTGGAAGGGACCTCCAAAGGCCATCTAGTCCCACCTCCCCGCAGTCAGCAGGGACACCCCCAACTAGACCAGGTTGCCCAGGGCCTCGTCGAGCCTCTCCTTGACTATCTCCAGGGAAGGGGCCTCAACCACCTCCCTGGGCAACCTGTTCCAGTGCTCCACCACCCTCACAGTGAAGAACCCTCTCCTCATCTCCAGTCTAAATCTGTTCCCCTCCAGCTTGAAGCCATTTCCCCTCATCCTGTCACTGCAGGCCTTTCTAAACAGGCTCTCCCCAGCCTTCCTGTAGGCTCCCTTCAGGTACTGGAAGGCTGCTATTAGGTCTCCCCGGAACCTCCTCTTCTCCAGGCTGAACAACCCCAGCTCCCTCAGCCTGTCCTCGTAGCAGAGGTGCTCCATCCCCCTGATCATTTTCTTGGCCCTCCTCTGGACCCTCTCCATCAGGTCCATGTCCTTCTTATATTGAGGGCTCCAGCCCTGCACACAATACTCCAGGTGAGGTCTCACCAGAGCAGAGCAAAGTGGCAGAATCCCCTCTCTGGACCTGCTGGCAATGCATCTTTTGATGCAGCCCAGGATGGGATTGTCCTTCTGGGCTGCAGCTGCCCACTGCCTGTTCATGTCCAGCTTCTCCTCCACCAGCACCCCCAAGTCCCTTTCCTCAGGGCTGCTTTCCAATCCCTCACCCCCTAGTTTGTATTGGTGGCGAGGATTGTTCCGGCCCAGGTGCAGAACCTTGCATTTGCTCTTGTTGAACCTCATGAGGTTCACCTGGGCCCACCTCTCCAGCCTGTCCAGGTCCTTTTGGATGACATCCTGTCCCTCTGGTGTATCGACAACACCACACAGCTTGGTGTCATCTGCAAACTTGCTGATGGTGCCTTTAATCTCCCTGTCTATATCATTGATAAAAATGTTAAACATGGACATTTCTGCGTGCAAAAAATCTCAGGGGGTTTGCACAGAGAGGTGGTTCCCGAGCTGGGTAGGGAGGGGAGGAAAACGATTGAGGTTCAAGCGCTGGCAAACCCGTGAGATGCTTTAAGGCTCCATCTCCCTGAAAAAGAGCATGGGAACCCCACTTCCGCGATGGAGCTGGCCCCTGAGAATGGGGCACCTCTGAGAAGAAACACAAACAGCATTAAAAAGCAAGAATTAGACAGCGAGGGGCCAGCTCTTCCGAAAGCAGGGGAGCTGGGGCACGGGTTGAGAGCAAAGCAAAGTGACAGCAGGTAGGAATGGTGAGCGGCCAGAACTGCTCACATGAAAGGCTCCTCCTGAAAAACAGGGTGGGTTGTTGTTTTTTTTTGTGCTAATAAGTGTTGATTATTGCAGTTCTGGGCGAGAGAATGCACGCTTTCCCCTTTTCTCCCTGATTTCTGCTTGTTTCGTAGCATCTTGCTAATGCTCCCAGCAAACACCTGCATTCAAAGCTCCTGATTATTGTCAGGTATCTCAGTGGTTACACGGGGGTTTAGTAAATAAAAAGAGATTGTGTTTTCAAACAGTTTAGCAGAAAGTTAGGAAAATAAGCTGCCTTCCTGCTGTGAGAGAGCTGCCGTTGCTTGCTGGCCCAAGGCAGAGACTGGGGGAGGAGAGGAGACACAGAATAGGCTTTTAGGTGATTTAAGTGTTTTCAGCCAAAAGGAACCCCCCAACGGGGTGGGTTTGAGATCTTTGGTCAGCTCGACCCGCTGCCCGGCCCTGTTTTGCAGACATCGATGAGTGTGCCCTGTCCCAGGACAACTGCACCAGGGGGACCACCTGCATCAACACGGGTGGGGGCTTCCAGTGCGTCAGCCCCCAGTGCCCCCAGCCTGCCGGCAACGTCACCTACGTCAAAACATCGCCTTTGTAAGTGCTAAATCTGGCCCTACTTTATTTTTTTGGGTGCTGGGTCCCAAAAATACGTGCATAGCATCCACATGGATCCATAGAATCATAGAGTCATAGAATTGCCCAGGCCGGAAGGGACCTCCAAAGGCCATCTAGTCCGACCCCCCCGCAGTCAGCAGGGACACCCCCAACTAGACCAGGTTGCCCAGGGCCTCGTCAAGCCTCTCCTTGAATATCTCCAGGGAAGGGGCCTCAACCACCTCCCTGGGCAACCTGTTCCAGTGCTCCACCACCCTCACAGTGAAGAACCCCCTCCTAATCTCCAGTCTAAATCTGTTCCCCTCCAGCTTGAAGCCATTGCCCCTCGTCCTGTCACTGCAGGCCTTT